AATCCTCACCGTTGAAGAAAGAAGAGTAGAACTTTGGTTTCAGTATATTCGACCTAGTTTTTTCTGAGAGCATTTCTAAGGTCTGCCAGGTGGCTAGAAATGTTCTCCTGTTCATTCTGCATCTAACTATGTATGTGTCGATGGAATTCAAGCAGGGGCCGATTTCATCTAGTAATCGCCCCCGTCCTTTGACAAAACAATATATATCAACTGTTTATAAGTTGAATAAAAGTTTAATCTACTCGAAACAAAGAAAACCCCCCCTCACCCTCACACACAAATACATGCAGTAGAGTTTAAAATTCTAGTAGAAAAATAAAACAGCAAAATATTTCTACTACAGTACAAATTATAATACATCAGCAGTTGAATGATGTACATAACAAAGGAGTTATTTCTTGGCGAAAGACACAGAACAGAACAGAAACTGCACATATCCGACTGGAAAAAAATAGCTGCACCCGATTTTAATATCTCGTCACTATAAAAATACAATTTAAAAAAAATAATTTTTAAAAGTGCTCGGAGTTCTCTATTATCCTGTATATTTATGTCTTACATTTATTTGCCGAAAAATAAATTGAGTGCAATGACGGCCCCCTCATTGTCAGATTCCTAGAAATTGTGACGGGTGTGGCCTCTCAGTATTTTCAATTTTTCTCGTATTTCTTTAAGACCCAAAGGTTAATGTTTTTTTTAAAAAGATGCGCCGTGAAATGCTCTACAAAACCATACCTAAACTTTAATTTTAGAGCGTCAATCAAGAATACTACGCAGATTATACGAAAGACGAAAAAAATGAAAACTTTGAAAATCTGTAATTTTTTTCCACTTGAACCTTTTTCTTTCGCTATTATTTCCGTAAAAAAAGGGATGCAAAAGTGAGAAGTCAGTTCTTTTTGTACTTCTGAATGTGCTCTTTCTCGTGGTCTATAAAAAAATCTTTTAGTGCAGATGGCGTGGAAAAAGCGAAAAAAGTAGCGAAATAATGCAGATTTTTGGTACTTGTCAATTGGGGGCACCTTTGTTGTACTCAAATTAGTTTTCAGCAAATAAATGTAAGACAAGACATAAATATATAGGATGATATAGAATTTCAAGCGCTATCAGAATATATAATTACTTTTATAAAAAGCAATTTCTATAGTGATGGTAAATTTAAAAAACAACTGAAGGAATTTGTAAAATGCAGTCCGTGGGAATCTGACGATGAGGGGACCGTCATTGCACTGAATTTATTTTTCAGCAAATAAATGTAAGACAAGTCATTCATCTTTCGCCACCAGTTCAACAAAATCCATTTACCTTTCTCCGCAAATTTCTCGTCCAATTTCAAAGTCCTTGAGCAAAGCTCATACATAGAAAGATAGAGAATTTTCTGGACTTCAAAATAAGCTGTAAATGAGCTTTTAAAAAATATGCCCATATAGCAGAATTGTCAAAATACTAGACAGATATCGTGATTTTCACCTATCTTAACACTTTAAACACTTCTTTAGTCATTTTTATGCCATAATGAAAACTTATGTATTTTTCAGAAACATACCATTGGATAGCCCTTGAAATGCTCTACAAAGTGAGTTGGTCAGAATATTCAGATCGGTTGTCCTAGTCATTAAAGATGTGTAAAAGAAGCGTTTGGGTGTTATCTATGCAGTACAGTATGGCATAATCATAAGAACTCCTTTGTTTTCTATTTTTCAGTAAAGGATTCTTGAAATTCTTTTTGGTTCTTTATTAAAATAATTTTTGGAACAGACTCAAAATACACTGTTCGAAAAAGAATTCAATGCTCATTCCGCCATATAAAAATATACATTCTTTGAAAACCTTCATTCAGTTACGGTGAAGCACCAAAAAATATTAAAAGTAGCTAAATCAAGGTGTACACTGACATTAAAATAGAGTATATCCATGTGAGGTTCTACTCACTCACTTCTGATATTTATTTCCATAAAGTGAACGGCTATATATAGCACAAGAAAGAAGCAACAGTTGTGCAAAAGTTGCGCAGGAGTTGCCCAAGAACAGAAAGAGTTTGGAAAACAACTGCAAAACAGAAAAGAAAGGATGAAACAAGTGTTGCGCAAGAACAGAATTACGTAAGGATAGTACAAGAACACAATGAGTCACGAACGAAATGAACAGAAAGAAAGGAAAAGAAGAAGAGAACATAGTCTTATGAGCTGCCAGGAATGGCAGATTATAACAACCCAATGAGTTTTTAACATTTAGATTTTGAACTGCCGTCAAACATGGACAAGTGAAAGGATGACTTTTGCCAAAAAGGGGTTTTCCTGCAGTCTCACTCAAAAGAAACTAGAAGGCTACACACTTTCTCCAACAACATTTTCATCTATTTTTAATACAATTCGAGATGCACATGCTCAATCGACTTCACGTTGTCATCTTATTTCAATATCGCTGAGGTCAATCATCGGAAAAATTTTCAAATCTCAAAACACCATCGTTTGAGGAGAAGATACATACATAATACGACAAAATGTCCATCAACCGTAACTCTATTAAGACTTGATCGAATCTCAGCTTATTATATACCAATCGATTCGATTTTAGAAGAAACATTGAACTACCTACTTAGTTTGTAAGAGCATTTATCGACCAAGATCCAACAGATCTCGAGATCGTTCATAAATCGAATCAAAAAGTCTTCTTTTTTTTTTATCATGCAGATTTGATCTACCCAAGAGTTATGCCACTCGATTCAACTTGTCAAGGTCTATCGATTCATACATAACGTTATTTTATTATTCTCTTATATAATCGTGTTAGATCAATCAAACTTTAACTGCGGTTACTTATCCTAAAAATGCCTTGCTGAAAATTTGTTTTTCTCACCTATGTACCTAAATATCGGGAAAAGTAATAAAAGTCAAAAGTAAGGTGCAATGGCTTCGAAAATCACTCATCTACTTACCACAGCTGGATGTTTTAGACTTACTATAGTTCAATAAACATTGATGTAAAATCAATTGTAACGTTTATTAATCGTCCATTCATATTTACAATGTTGAACAATGACACAATAGTCAGTGTGGACTACCGTCAATGTAACTGGAATGTTTACAGTTAATCAACACGATCATAATGAACATTAAATTGTTACTCTTTGCTCCTTCAACAATTTGATCGTAATCAATACTTTTTTCAGTAGAAAACTGTGCGTTGAACAAGTTGAATGCGTCTTGGTAATAGAAAATGGCCTATACTTGTCTATATATTAGCCGGCAGAAACTTTAGGACAATTGCATATGACGTAAAGGCACAAATTCATATAAAATTCATCAGAACACTGTTCAAAGAAAAGACCTGAACTTTAATCACAGAAAGTTGCAGTATGAAAAATTAGTGAACGCGCTCCAGCTAAATATTGAACATTAAAGAAACACTGAGTATTCCAGTAGTATGGTAATAGACGAAAAATACGTTGCATTTGTGTGTGAAAATGGTGGAAAATATTTTACTTAAATTGACAAGTTTGGGGATCATGACTAATCCAGATGAAAAATGTCATACAAGATTTTGTCATAAAATCCTGTACGATCTTGTAAAATCTTGTGATATCTCATTATAAAATCTATTAGACTATGTATAAAAATTGGTAAGATCTTACAGAATCATTTTATCAGCATTCATATAATCTAGTATGATTTCGTGACAACTTTCAGTGGTCATTGACACATCATGTTTAAATTTATTGTCATAAGATCTTGCAATATTGTCCAAAAAGGTATGAAATCTTGTTGTATGTTCTTACAAGATTTTACAAGAAAGAATGACTCATTAGCCGCAGTTATATATGGGGCATATAATATAATAAAAAATAATTGATAATTTTAATGTTAAGTATAGAGCACAATATCTGTAATAGTGTGTGTTATCTATCAATATTTTATGAACAAATCCAGGCAATATAATATTTAAGTTTCGACGCGAACTTCTTTATTACATTATCATGTTGAAAATGCTTCTTGAATTTTGACAAGCTTAAAGGTGAAGAATAACAAAAGATAAGAGCATCGTTGCATAACATAAACATTTGATATAAATTTGGTTGTTTATTGTCAAAGAAGTAGCAGAAAAACAATGCATGCCCAATCATTTTACATTTTGTTCATTATTTTATTATTTAAAACAACAACTTGTGAGAAAGATATTAATAGTACAATTAATGAATTGATTCATATAATAGCTGATTATCAAGTATGTCATATTTAGAACTCAGAGCACATTTGAGTACATAGTGAGATTGTTACGAAAAATCAATATTATTTTTTCTTTCAAAGGTACTTAAACCAAGAAATTACACACCACCTGTACGATGGGAAGAAGATCTTGGTCTTTATCGTTCAGAAATTCGTATTAACATTGCCGGAAATCCAGCTGTTGCTGAATTGCGTAAAAATGAATTTGTTTATGTCTTTGATAACAACATATTTGCAACAGGGTACGTATTCAACTATTTTCAACATGAGAATTTCTATATTCTTTCATTTTTTAAATATATAGATGGATATTAACTACACTATTAGAAGCGAATATGTATGGAAACACACCGTTAACAATTGATGCTGAGCGTTTATCATTAACATTAGATACTATTGCAGCATTTCATAATCATAATGATGCAGAAAATAATTGTAATATGCAATTTTGGTCTCAAATGTATAATGAGACAACAAAAACATGGATAAGTACACCAATCAATGTTCGATCGTTAATTGTCAATCTTGATGGTAATTTATCCGAATTAGAACGACTATTAAAGTTAATTGGATTAGAAAATGCTGCTCAATTAATCGACATTATTCTTGTACAAAGTAAAACATTTTTAGATGCATTTGAAATACCAGCAGATTTTGATGATACTTATTTGAATATTGGACTTGGTGCTACATTAAAAATGATTCAAAACCAGTATCCATCCGCTTATAAACAATGGTTAAGTTCAAATAAAAATTTTAAAAAATTATGTAATGATACCGTAAAATATGCCTATCATCCTACAAGTTCTCAAATCGATCAAAATACAATTGATCCAAGAACATATTTTTGGTTAAGAGATTTTTTGCATGATTATATTGAAAAACAAAAGAAGAATCCAATACTTGTAACAACATGGATACAAAATATAACAGAAGTAAGAACACAAGCAGCAAAGGGTGTAAAAATGCCGTTTAATTTGAATAATGTGGATGTAACAGTATCTGCAAACGTTTTATATGGTATAACAAGTGCTATTCTAAATCAAGTAGAAGATTTTCCATTGTATTTTAATAATGACATGCAGGTAAGAATGGTCACGTATTTGAATAATTTTTAATTTAATATAAATATGATTTTAAGGATTTATATGAAAGTACTGGAGCATTGATTGCCTGGGCAATAATCAATAATATGAAAGATCGTCCTGATCTTGCTCAAGTTTATTATCCTTCAACTTATAATTTTTTATGGTATGCTTCTCGTACATTGTTTATATTAGAACGTGCACGTCGTGAACAACAAAAATATCCGGTAGTATTTGACACTGTGTATGATTTATTAGCTGATGCCTATCGAAATCATGTTCTAATTATATTTAAAAATACTGTACATATAGATGATGATAGTTTATATTATTTTGAAGATTTTCTTGGTACTAATGATACAAATATATTTGATAAACAAACACCAACTGGTGAAGATCGTCTGTTTTCAACAGCACAAGCTGTTAATGTTCTTCTAGCATCATTCACATCATTTAATTCTACAATAAAACAATTGCAATGGATTAAAACTTCTAGTATTAGCGATGTAAAAGTTATTGTAGATAAATGTGTACAATGGTTATTAAAAAATATTTTCAGTAACAAATATAAACCTTATAATTGTTTTTTTTCTGGATCAGTAAAAGGCTTCGATCAATTGCCATTTTGGTATCCTGCAAATTTATATCAATTCATAAATGGAACAACATTCGATCCTGATCATATTGTGGTTGATAATCCAACATTAGAAAATACAATATGTGGTGTTCAAGGATTAATCGACGAAAATGAATATAATCGTATGATTGAACAGACACATTTCAACGTATCAACACCAACAACATTTAATGGCTATAATCAACCGAAAAATGAATTTCCTTTTTGGTCATCACAACCGTACACATATTCATCGACATTACTCGCTTTAGCGCAATACAATAATATTGAAAAACAATAAATTTCAGTCTTGCTTTTGTACCACCTACTTGATCAGAATTTGATAAATATACTGTGGTATAGGAGAGAAATTTCCCAGGATATCGGTCACTTTATGCCTGGTTTTGTTCCGTGCAACCTATTTGAACAGAAAGTTGAGCTGAGTAATATGATTTTTGGACGAAAACATGATTCCTCTAGACAACCAGACGTTGATATTATTGCCAAATGTGACGTATGTAGGAAAAATTCAAAATTATCATTAAAAAGTTTCCAAATAGATGAAAAAGCTTGTAGGCTCCTTCTAAACAATGCGTTCATTTCAAATCTTGGTTGTTGTATGTACTAAAAAAATTGATATCGCACGAACTATTCGAAAGTTAATGAAGGACTAAGGAGCAGATCAACTCGTATAGAATATTTCCTTCCTTAGGCGACGATGAGAAACTGTGTAAATCAGTTCTATTCGTACCAACGTCATCGAACTGTTTGGGGCTTTAATAGTATCTATGATGTAGAAATAGATTACGTTAAGTTAGTAACTTGAGGTGGTTGAGACGATAAACGTTTTTAAATTCCTGGGGAGCTATTGACTTATCTATAGCTAGAACTACAAATGAGTCGAACCCAAAGTTAATTTGAGCTTATTGAACGTGGTATCGTCTAAATTCGAACGATCTCGACCTATGACTTAATCCAAGAAGAAGTTGTGATGATTATTAATGCTTTACATTTAAACCTTTACCCTCCCCCCCCCCCAATGTCCATAGGCGTGGACATTAGCCGAATCACCATGGAAAAAAATCGAAGCTTGTGATTAACTCTGTGTTGGTTGGAAAGAACTTCAACAGCAATCAATTGGTAAAAAGAATTTTTTCTGGGGCCTTTAGTTGGGAGAAAAAAAAAAATTTTTCTAATTGCTAAATCTTCTCTTTTCTGAGCAAGCTAAGACTTTAATTTTTTAGGAGGAGTGACATGAAAATGATTCTTTTTCTATAAATGAAGCTTATCTACGTATGAACATACAAACAATGTTTTTACACGAATAGTTTTATGTAATATGATGTCATTCCGCATGATTTTAATCAGTTACATCTAAAGCTTTTTATATTACATACTTTGACTTTTTAATGCTTTTTATAAAACTAAGTATATTTAACACAATTGAAAAACGTTTTCTTAAAATCATTTTACATAAAAAGCGAGCTTTCGATACTTCACAGTATTATCATCAGGCTAATATAACTGTCGAATTTGGAAGAGAGATAATTATATAAAAAGTAGGTGAGCGGTGGAAAACTAAAACTCAAAATCGAAAAAGTAGAATACATGGATTATCTGTCCAAATGAATAGTGGCTGTGGCCATTTTATAAATAACTCGAGAAGAGAAAGAGATAGAAAGGTGCGATTTTAACCATTCGAAAGAAGAGACTTGGAGGCATATTTTCATAACTAAAATGTTTTCAGAAGAATGACAAATAAATAAAAAATATATGTATTCAAACGAATGTGTAATAGCATCATTGATAAAATTTATGATAATAATCTGATGATAACAGATGAATCTGACTTTGATGATTGGTTGTCATATAAATGTAAAACTAGATTTACATTATGTGATGGACGATGGAATTGTTTAAGGGCGTGTGTTTTATTTTAAACTAGACACCTAACTACATGGACTGACCGGCGCCGATTTTTTCAATTAAGCCTTTTGTTGATTTTCCAGGCAATCAACAACCTCCAAAACCTGAAGAATCCTTCCAAATTTTCTAAAAATCTTCAATTTGACAAAAAACGTAGACCTAATTCAAAAATCGACGCTGATCAGTCTATGTAGTTTCTTTCTCTTTTAAACAAAACAAATAAATTATTCCTTTGATCGCGATAGACGATTTCATTGTTACCGAGTGTCACAGAAGTTTTGCAACATCTTGTTTTTGAAAATTTCAGTCTAGATACAACATAGATTATTCAATCTGTTTTCAAAAGATGCATAATTTAATTCTCTACAAAATTGATGTTGAATATATTTTGCAGTAATGAAATTTTAAATTTCTAGAGGTAAAACACTTCAATGAAATCAAGTTCAACCACTTCCCATTGATTCTCAGAATATTTTGCGAATATTTTTCTGTGCTAATAACAAATACTGAGAAGATCAGGTATTTATTTTTCGATAGTGCATCCATAGCTCTTTCAAAGATATATAATATCTTCTCGACCCGGTATCTGCTGCTGTAGCAAAAATTCTTTTATTTAATTTTGATCATAAAAATCGCTCCTTTGCAGCAATTAACTATTTCCTAACCCTATAAAAATGTTTGTTCACTGTTTTCGTGGTAGGAAGAAAGGTAAATTGTTTTCGTATAAAACTTTATATTAATGATCTTTTCTGAGCTATAAATGGCTTTCTCATAATGTTTTTTTCTGAAGACAGCAACTCGAAGGGGAAAATCGCGCTAGTTTTAGAAATATGAGTTTTAGAAAAAATGTCATTCAACAAGTAGAAAGTGGCAAGGAAAATATCTAAGTATATACAGTCAGTAGACATTTTTGAGGACTATCTATTAGTGAGTGTATTTTATGCGCCCGATATTTGTTGAGATTCTACACATGAAAAACTCCAATTCAGTGGAAAGTGGTTGAACTTGATTCCAGTGAAGTGTTTGACCTCTAGAAATTTAGAATTTCATTACTGCAAAATATAGTGAACATTAATTTCTTCCCGCTAGTCAACGTCAATTAAATCTACAATTGTCTTGAAATTAGTATTCTATTGAGTATCGAATAACTCAAAAAGTATTATTGATTTCGAACAAATAGTGCATTTCACCATATTTTTATTCAGTAGAAAAATATATTTTATATCTATTATATCATCATAGTGATTCGATAGAAGTAGATAACTATTATGTTCAGATTGATGGTTATCTAATAAAAGAAAACAATTTAGAATTCATAACAATGTGGTATTATGATATTTTACTTTCATTTCTACCCGTACAACGATTAGTATTAAAACTCTCTGTCTCTAAAGAAATGAATGCCCTAAACGAACATATCTGTCAAAAAATTCGGTGTAATCACGGCTTTTGTGTACTATCTGCTAACTCGATGAATGGTAAAAAATAATAATATTTTCCAGTCATCGGTGAATTATGTAATGAAACTGATAAACTATATGAACAAAAATCAAAAATGTGTTCAAAAAATTCAATATATTTTAATAGACAATAGTCAAAATCATCCCTTTCCATATGTATTTGTCCATTAAACATGATTGGTTCATTTTGTAATATACAACTTAATGCTTCTAGTGAAAATCCTTGTCCTAATAATGCTACATGTTTGCCATTGTCCAGGATCACTACTCACAAATACAGTAGTAAACAATATGCATGTATTTATCAAGAGGGATATATAAGTAATTCTAGTTGTAAAACGAAATCAAGTCAAATTAGTAGTATGTTCGACTACGACAACATTGGCATCAATACCAGTAACATAGATAAAATTCTGGCAGATGTTATTCATTTTGTTTCAGCGTATACCGGTCGATTAGGATCGTTACATGAATATAATAAAAGAGAATTGTACCAGAATATTAATTATAAACGAATGCTGACAGTATTTTATGAGATATATGAATTAGATGTTGTTTACTTACAAATATTTTCCGATCGGATATCTAATCGATACGGTTTATACTCGTTTTACTAAATGCAACAAAAAGACAGTGGACAGATGATTTTATTTTGAATGCAATCGTAATTCAACAAAATTATTGTCAAAATATAAAAGAAATTCTAAACAGTACAGTAATGAATTTCAATGGATTAAGGCGTATTAAATATTATCCAAAACTATGTCGAGAAAATATCGATTTAATATCTTTCTATGATGAACAATATATGTGTTTATGTGATCAAACACATGATAGCGAATGTTTTTATTTTGATCATAATATTCAAAAATGTGCTCACTGTGAAAATGATGGTATTTATATTAACGATAATGAGAAAAATTCATTAAATTATGTTTGTATTTATCAAGGTATAATCAGTTTTCGCTATGTTCATACCCCATTTGATTAGGCCTGGGACCATTACCCTGATTACTTCCATTGGGTACAAGTCCCACTCCTACATTCGATAGCTCACTCTTTTCCATGCCACCACTCATCATCAAACTGAATAAGATGAGTTTACACAGAGTTACGAATGTGATTCTGCTATTGATACAAAACAAAGTAAATCATCTTTTAGAACGTAAAAGGTTCTTTGGGCAGTCTCTAAAAATTGTGTTTAATTTAAGGTTGTTATTATGGTTCATTATATCAGTTTACAACCAGTCAATATTCAATATCGTTACATGCATCCATCGGTCAAGAAATAAAAATATATACACTATTGAAACCACAACCAGTTATCATCAAGTTATACTTAATTTTTACCATACTAAAGATTATAAGTGAATTTTTATTAAATGCTCTTTCAATAATAACATTTTATCAACCGAAATGTGGTGAAGTTGGATGTGATATCTATTTATTAATAACATCCATAATTGGTCAACTAAGTTTCATTTGTGTTTGGTATAAAATTTCTTTATCTTTTGTCAACATAAATAAATAATTTATCTACGAGACGTATGACTTGCACTGTAATGAAATTTTTGTTAAAATTTCCACTAACAATAACGCATTGGATAAATGCAATTGTTTCAATTGAACGTACTTCTACGATACTATCTGGATTAAAATTTAAGAAGAAATCAAGCAAAACTGCAGCTAACATTATTATTCCACTTATTATTACATTCAGCTTTATAACAACGATACATACTCTATTTAATTATCAAATAATATGCTGATTGGGTTGAACAGATTCTAGTAATTGGAAACTTCCTATCCGACCGTTACTTAAAAAGCAAGATAATTTCAATACTAACTGAAAAATTATTATACGAAAAACGTGTCATTGATAGTGAATCAGAAAATTGATTTCTTACTTAGCAATGTTTTTCAACTACCGTAAAAACTTTCAGCACAGTACATAATTATGGTCACATTGAATAATCTAAATACTTTGGGTCTCATTAACTAAATACAGATCAATATTTATTTATTTTTTCTTGTAATGCCATTGCCGCTAGAGCTTCTTGATCAGTATCGGCGGATACTGCTGTGGCTGTATAAGGTATTGGCGGCAATCGACTACGATCACCGCTCATATGTGCAGACCATACGCGATCAAAATTTTCAGCTTTCTTATATGCAGACATTTTACGTTTTTTTGGATGTGGCCGTCGCACTGGGCCCCCGTCGGCACTATCAATCTTTTTGTCTCGTTCTCGTTTTGGGTTTGTGATCGATTCACTTGAAACTGGTTGAACATCACGACGTAATTGAGATAATAAACGTTGTTTTCGCTCTTCTTTTGCTTCAATTTGAACCTCTAAATAATAAAAAACTATTATTCATATCCAGAAGCGCATAGACCAACAGATTGTTATAGTTAAATCTATCATTAGACTAATTTACACACCTGTTAAACCAACATCACTATCGTTCGAATCATCCTCGAATGGACGACGATCAACATTTGGTCTCCTGATTTTACCTTCTTCGGGCTCCTTTGATGACTGTTGTGGACATAGATCAGTTTGTTTCGATATGGCTTTAGTTAGTAGATGATGTGGATCAGATTGATCATGTTCAATATATTTTGTTGGATTTGATTGTTTTTTTCGTCGCCCGGATGCTGATAACGATGAAGCAGCAGAGTCAATTAAATATATTTGAAAAAACACACAAAAGGAACACAAAACTGACAAAAAAAGGTTATTTGAAAACATTTTCACTCCAGATAAAAATAATATGACGTAAAGTGTTAAAATCAACAAATCAGACTTTAATTTTATACTGGCGCCAGTTTCCAACAGTCGAACACGAAAATAACAAAGAGCGCGATAGAAGTCCATGCTGGGTTTTTAAAACCAGCATGGCATGTAATCAAACAATGAAATAATGACAAGAATGAAATAATGTTCAGTTCAAGCACAAAATCGCGTCATATCATTGTCATGGCTCAAGTCCAAATCTACATCATTCTGGAACGTTATTGCCTAAAAATAGAAATCTCAACTAATATTCCTTGTACAGCTAAAATGACCAGTTAAAATGCGTTAGGCATGTTTTTGCCAACTATGGTATCTTTCATTACAACTACATATTTTGCAGTGATAAATAAATTGTTATCCTGAGAAAAGAAAGTAGTTCTTTCAAGCTTAATCTAATCAATTAAAAACCAACGGAAAAAGCAAAGTCGTCTCAAAGGTAAAACAGTCCACCTTGACGGTTGGCTAATTTTTTCTAAATCATTCTAATCCAGAGAACTGATTTCTAACTTCGCCGACGCGGTTTCAGTTCGGATATTATATCCAGTTGATGATTCACGAACTCTTTCGCGAACTGACTCTCGTGTCTTGTGTTCCTCCACGCCGCTCTCATCGACGGATATTGTGGAAGCTTTCCTTCGTTGCACAAACAGGAGTATTTAAAATATGCAGTATGCATTGGAACATAGTATTGTTTTTAACACATGGTTTATTATTTTAATGAATATCTTTATCCTTTTTCCGCGGCCGCTTGGAACGAATTTTCTGCATCGGGGCAAAAGCCAACTACACCATTTTCTCCACGCTGATATGCGGATATGCGGATCGAGTACCCTGGTCGTTCAGCGCTGAAGATGATCTCTTTTGCTTTGTTTGATAATTGTTGAGAAGTTTCGGTTCACCTGATATGCATCGATTGCATGTGCATATGGATCCGATTTCCAACTTAAATATTTCTCTAGTTGAGTATTTAATCTGTCATCAAATAGATCTTTTCCTAGCGGTCTGAAAGTTTATTTAAGGAATGAAAATAGCGATGCATACATACTTTTGACTTTTACTCACTGATATGATTCACAATCGATATTAATAATATATTAAAAAAAAGTATTATGCCACGAATATTGCTTCCTCTAGCTAAAAAATTTTAAGATGTAAACGAATATTTCAGCTCGAACACGGTCGCCATCGCGTTTACAAGTCGATTCATAATGATGATTAGAATTTGCCTTGTCTTCGCATTTGAATTGTTTCGACTCGTTATATTCTTTTCCTTGTCTTATAACACAGGCTACACGTCCTTCTCATGCGATTGAAATTCTGAATAAATAGCTGCATAAGCGCAATTAAAGACCCGGACCTTCTATTCTGTCTGCATGCATAAAGTTCTTAGAGCGGTCTTCTATTGTGTCCCTGAAAGAAAGCTGTTTTTGTTAGACTTAGACATTTTGTCATTTCATCACATGTGTCCTTTGTCTCTTCTCCATGCACTTCAGAGGAAGACAGAGTTTGCTTGAAATAGAAAATATCTATTATTGTGTGCGAAACTTATAATTAAAAAGTGGAAAATAGGAGGGGTCTTTTATTTTGACTTTTACAAGATGATCTCAAGGACAATCTTGGAGTCTTTTTGTTTTTATATTATTTCTTGCTGCCTGGAGCAGACATGTTACGAATTACTAGAATAACTCGTTCTTCTACTTCTGGTAAATATTAATACAGGAGAGAATCAATCCGTTTCTTTTTAGTATCATGCAGATATGTTCTGATATGAACTTCGTTGTCACTTGTAGGTTTTTACATAAGAAATGGATGAAATAAGTAAATTACACAAAAAATAAGCATGTTTTCAAACATACGCCAGAAAAACGTCTGTATACTTACTTCATGGAGAGAGCATGAACAAAGACAGAATTCTTTTGTCCATAAACAAATAGACAACTCGGATGTTATATCTATGGACAAAAAAACTTGTTTACTGTATGCAGATCTCTAGTTTTCTGAGAAAGTGTTTCTTCACAGTATGAAGAACGAAATGAAAACAAACAGTGGTATAATCACGGTTATTATGAAAACCGGGCTTTTTTCGAACAAAAAAATTTTGATGACGTCACAGGGTGAGGGGGCCATGGTCCAATGATGACAAGCGATGACATGGGGGGATGGAGAGGCTCAAAAACGCAAGAATTTGATGACGTAATATGCGAACCGCCCCAGGGGTTGTTCGAATATTACGTAATCATCAGAGGGGTAGGGGGAGGGTCCGAAATGATTAGGTTTGATGACATGGGAGAGGGGAGGAGTCTGATTACTGACTTTTTTCTCGTTCTATTTGTATCCTGGGCAATTTGTCAAGCTCTCAAGAAACTTCGCAAGCCAAGCTAGAAATTGCCATGTGTCATCTTATTTAAGAAACATAAACATGCAATCATTTATATTTACGTGGCAAATATAAGATAACTATTGAATTTTCACTCATTGTCAACTATAACAAGAATTGTTGAAAACACTTTTTTCAGTGGTCAGATAAACTGAAACGGCAAACGATTCAATCACGTACGGACAGTAGAATATTCTGTTTATCAGAAGACTATAATCAGCTCTGCGATTTGCGGTCATTTTAAAAGCTGTTTTTCTCTTTAGCCAACCAACACTCATGACTAGTATTGAAGACCAGCTCAAAGCAATAACTCAAATCATCGTTGCTCCAAAATGCTTGCTTCGAACGAAACCAGCCGTAAAGTAAGATGAAAAAATCTTCGCTGAGCTAAAACCTAGTGATATCTTCAAGTTTTTAATTTTTTCTTCAAACCTACGTAGTTTGTAGAGGATACTTCGAAGTATATGCCCTGAAGTTTTTTCGGCTTACTGACATTATTTGACTGAGAAAAAAATGAATTACTCAAAAAAACATCGTTAAATTTTTGAGCACTAGGCTATTATTAAAAAATTTAGCAGCCAAAAATGAATTCTAAAAGTTCTATGATGGCCTATCTTGTAGCCCGTCAGATTCTTTATCAGATGAGCTATTACTTAAATTTTTTCGTCCAGTCATTATCTTATAAATGGGACTAACGGGATAACGGCAAACGATTCAATCACGTACGGACAGTAGAATATCCTGTTTATCAGAGGACTATAATCAGCTCTTCGATTTGCGGTCATTTTAAAAGCTGTTTTTCTCTTTAGCCAACCAACACCCACGACTAGTATTGAAGATCAGCGCAAAGCAACAACTCGAATCATCGTAGATGCTTCTTATTGGTTTCACAATATAATAGTGAATTGTCAACATGATAAGATAACAAGAACTATTTCACCAATTGTACAAATCGGCGCTGGCATTATTCTGTTAATTATCTTACAACTTATTTGTCCACAAGCTTTGCGATCAGTAGTAGACATTTTTATACATGTTGTCAAAGGATTGGCACCGATATTTGGCTATATGAAATTATTAGATAAAAACATGTTTTGAAAGGAGTTAACTAGCACCAGAGCTGGGCAAGTCACGGATTTTCCAACTTGCGGCTCTGACTAGCACTCATGTTTTGTTTGTGCTGGAACACTATTTGAATATTTCTCACATACCAGTGTTTATTCTTTTGTTTATTTGATTTTGATGCAATTTTTTCAATTGTGTCTACTTGTAGTGCATTTTATTTGACTCATATGAAAAAAGAAGGGCTTAATACATGAGAACTATTTTAAAACAACACATGCATTTTTGGCACACATTTTTTCAAAAAAACATGTGTTTTTCATTAAGTAATAAAATAGTTATTGAAGACATTAAATCCATGATAAATATTATTTCAACTTCTCATACGATAAGGTTTACAAAAAATATATTCACGATGTTCGCTATTCCCCTCCGTCCTCTCAATGATGGCTCCAGGATCCATCTTGTGTCTATTCGTCTCTTATTCGCCAAGCTATTGTGTAACTTTCGAAACACGGCCAACTCAGAAATAGACATTGTCGTCGATATAAACTACACAACACGCCCCGAAATATTCTTTATACCTATCGATAGCTTATGAAGTTTACTACAAAAAAATGTTTTGAAAGTTTTTGAATTTCATGCATCCTTAATTTTTTGCAGTCGATCTACAAATGGTCACTCCAGTGACCAACCCAGTAAAGGTTAATTAATTTAGAAAAAGTCTGAGAAAGGTCTACACTTTTAATAAAGCCCTGGTTTTGGTTCAACTTTTACACAGAATATTAGTTTTGTCGTCACTTCTACAACGTTTTAGTCAAGATGTGTCTTTATATAACCATTTTTCATTGCAAGGTGTTGCAAAACTCTGCACGAAAATTAAACGTAACTCTTGAACCGATCAATCCATCCCTAAATATCCAGACGTCTCCAAACCTAGAAGAATATACGGGCAAAAGCAGCGTAAAGTGGACATGACTACTGTTTGTTCATCTTGAATTTCTTCCTACTCTTATTTTGGAGGATAACTCTTTATTATTTGAATATATGAAGAAGACTTTGCTCTTTAAAACTATAATTAGCTAATTAATTAGAAAATAATTAGCGAATAGCGGCTTGAAACTAGTTTCTTTGCTCTTAAGAATTCCAGAGAATGTTTCTATTACTAATGCGCATCTTTCATCATTACTCATCTTTCAATAGTCTTTCCAGAGGTGAGAGTAAGATTGAATGGAATGTTCAATTTTCTGCATCACTATCGTAGCAAATATTGATAATTTTAGATAACGATTAATGACGTCAGCTAGGACTGTCTTTAAACTGAAGTTGTAACTGTTTGTGTTATCACCACCATTAATGTTATGGAAATTTCGTTTGCAACAAATGCGGCAAAAAATAATGATGAGTGAGATAAAACGTAAAGAACGAACATATGAAAAGTTAATGATACTATAACCTCGCAGTCCGACGGCTGGCAATGCAAACAAAAGAAGGAACGTACAAGAAACCATTGTCGTACGTCTGCAAATTTCTTATTCTTTATAATAGAAAAATGAATGCAACCGATCGTGAATTTGTTTTAATCTGTGAATCGTCACTTTTTCTCTTCCACAGATGCCAAGAGAAAGAGAGAATCGTCAAC